AGCTGCCTATGACTGGTAATACCAGCCATTATCTTCCCGTTCCGGTGAGGAGTCGTGAGCTGTAAACTCGACTGCTACAGTTGAGCAAAGTAGAAGCGTTTGTTGAAGTGCAGGAGCCGTGCATGTTCGCTTCTGTGACTATCGATGGTATCCGACGAGGATCCATAGTGGACGTGGAAAGGAAAAGAAAATTCAACTGCTTTTGCTGCTTGCCATCAATTAATCAAAGATATTTTACATAATTTAAATCTTATACTTACGTTTTTCACCAGTCCAAAAAGTACAACAAATCTGCATATTTACACTCAAGCCGCCATGTTGAACACCCAACTGAGTGCCCTACTTTTTTCATACGTGGAATGCACTTAAGACTTACGTGAAACGCACATAGATTCTAGGTATGTGGAAATCACTTAATTTTCATTGGATAAATAAATGGGTGTAATTGGAATTTCTTTTAGCATTCAGGTGGCATTGCGTAGATTTTACGAGAGTCACGTAAAGTAGACTGACGTATGAAAATTTAAACGTTACGTGATTTTTCACGTAGTATCAAAGTGTGGATTCTTTTGAGTGTATAGTAGTGACAGTAGCAACACCTCAGAGAGTGATGCTAGTGACTTCGGCAATCAGTGTTAATTTTGATCACCATTGCAATAGTTGGACAGTTGTGTAATTTTCAGTAGTTACTTATTGAAAATTTATATAGTTTTCAATTTAGCAGATTCCTACCTAAATTTCTACTCGAGTGGTTTGTTTAGAATTAAATCCATCTGCTATTGACAGAGTTATATGTGGTCAAAACTGACCTCTTTTCTCAATGCGCTCGATTTTGGTTTTATGTTGCCGAAATACGTAATCCTACGTAAAAAAATACTCTTTACCAAATTTATGGTGGTCCTGAAAAGGACCGTTTTGTCGTGATGGTTGAGTAAAGCTGAGCTATTATGGTGTTTTACACAGATAAGGCTGGCGAGCGTGGCAAAGATGGCCCACAGCGGCTCACGACGAGCAACTGAAATCCGATCAGTAGCGGGGCAACTTCTTCCTCGACTTCTTCCTCCTTCTTCGGTGAATGAACCGCTCAGTGGGCTACAGCTCGCGCTTGCGGGCAGCCTTTCGTCGTGTACTGGAGAACAATCTACTACGCCACGCACCGGAAGCACTGCTGCTGTTGCTGCTGATGATGACCACTGGACACTACCACTCACCACACATTCGGTGAGACCGGAGTTAATTCGATTTTTAAATCAGTGTCAGGAAAAGCGCTTTTCGCAGTCAATCGGTGATAATTTTTTATATTATAGCAACAGTTGCACATTCGTGCAGAATTAATATCCATCCGGTATTGACAAAGTTATAAGTGGTCAAATGGTCAAATCCTGAGCATTTTTCGTAACGCGGTTGATTTTGGTTCTTTGAAATTGTACCCCCAATATGTTGCCGAAAGACGCAATCCTATGTCAAAATACCCATATTGATGGGTCAACAAACCACCCTGCCTTTGGTTAATGGAACAAATCAAGAGCAAATTTTCATTATGTCGTAAGTAACATTCACACCAATCCGAGAAAAATAAACTTTTGTTTTGATGACCGAAAAGTTATTCCTATTTCCAAGTAAACCTCGAAGTAAACACATATAATCTCATAGTGATAGCAATGTTTAACATATTTAGCAGGGTTTTAATCATACAAATGCAAATCGCTAGCGTTCATGCTAAAAAATACTGGTTTTTTAGTCAAAAGTTATTATACGTCGTTTGGTGTCCCCTATTGTTACTTAAGTCAAAGTGTATTTACCAGGATATTCGGGAGAATAATCAATTACGTCTCCTTACGTGCATCCCATTCATAATTTTACGACCACCGAAATCATCTTAGCAACAAACAGTTCGATTTATTCACTTTAATAATGAGAAAGCAAAACGACGAACGTACACTTTTCACGGGTTTCTCAGCACTGTTACTTAAGTCAAACGGCATCTCCATAGAAATTGGGTGACTTAAGTAACATCGAAAACTATTTTGATCGGAAGGTGATTACGTCAAAAAGCAATTTGACTGGTAAATAAATTTAAAAATGGGATTTGATCCTATATTCGGACAGTATATAGTGTAATAGCAGGAGAATCGATTGACACTGATAGCTCGACTTTGTTTACCTTTGTTACATTCGACGTAATGAAAATTTGCTCTTGAAATATTAGCTTATTCTTTATTTTATGAGTGAAGGGGAGATATGTGTGGGTGTAAAAAGCAATCGATTCACCCCTCGAAACATAGGAAAAACCAATAACCCCTTATTTTATCTGTCAAACTTTCATAGCGAATCAAAACAAACATTGTGTAGTAATAGAATTTCGACTAGAATGGAGTACGTTAATCCTTTGCTTGGGACCAATAGACTAGTCAAGTAGTGAGCCAATTTAAAATCGTTAGTTTCGTATTGATTGTTGGTGGTACCGCGATAATAACGTAGATTTCATCGATAAAAACATAAATCCACCCAACTGCCCGCAGTTCCGGCCCATCGAGAGATTTTGGGCAATAATGAAGCGGAAGCTTAAGAAAAGTGGAAAAACGGCTCGGGACGCGATTCAGATGACCAAAATGTGGAACAAATGTGCCAAGGAAGTTGACTCCGGAGGTGTGCAGCGTTTGATGGGAGGAATAAAGAAGAAATTTTCATTAGAAACGAAGAGAAATTATTTGTATTGATAATAAAAGTACAGTGAATCTCTTTTGTTTTGATGTATTAACCTTATTTATACGTCAATCCATTACCGAGATACAGATGATTTTATTATTCCGGATTCTAAATGCACATAGCTTTAAACCAGCAATATAGTATTATTTCCAATGGATTTTGTTTCAGTTTATGCATGTATGTTATCTACACTGAAAAAAGTTTTCATATAGTTTCCATTGGGAACGCACATAATATTTATCTAATAACAAAATTAATGATTTTTTTTTATCTGAATGTCACATAATATTCATATGATCACATGAATTCTATGTGATAAATCACATAAACTTCATTGGACACATAAGGCTCATGTGATTGGTTGGTGCGAATCCCAATGGATCAATGAAAATGCTGAGGTTTTGACAGAACTATGCTGTGGCTACCACAGTATTTTACATATGATCTTCCATATACAGTAGCGCCATAAGCATGCCGTGGTGGGTTCAAAGCTTGAGCATCTAAAGTGATCAATTATGAGATCACATGAAAGTTATGTGAAATTGTAATAGATATTTTCCATTGGCCGGCGCCGGTGGTGTAGTGGTAAGCGTGACTGCTTTCTAACACCTCGATGGGTCTGGGTTCAATCCCAGCCGAGGTCGGTGGGATTTTTCTGAGGCATAAAAATCTCTGGTCACGTCTTCCTTCGGAAGGGAAGTAAAGCCGTTGGTCCCGGCCCATGTGTGTTGTGAATGGGTGCGATATCCTACGCAGGTGTGGAAGCTGCCTTCCTGCACATTCTATTGCCGTCAATGGATGGCAATCGATGTCCGTCGGTGAACCCAGACCAATTGGGGTGAGAAAGCAGTCACGCTTACTACTACACCACCGGTACCGGCAATATTCTTTTCAACCCTGGCATGTATTTAGTTTAATTTTGATATTTAATTTGTAAACAATAATTTTTCTCAAATTCGGGAATTTTTCCCTGGAAAATCATGGAAAAACATGAGGAAAATTAACTCATCGCTGAGTTCCTGCACTTTTGGCGATTATGAGTGAACTAAACTCAAATTTGGGTCGTTCTCATTCGCGGTGTGTTAAACTTTCATATCGAACCAAAACAAACATTGTGTAGTACTAGAATTTCTACTAGAATGGGGTACGTTAATCGTTTGCTTGGGACCAATAGGCTAGTCAAGTAGTGAGCCAATTTAATATCGTTCGTTTCGTATTGATTGTTGATATTCAGCTCTTCCGCCGCCGTTAATTACTTCCTCTAGAATCCCTTGAACTTTTTCTCTAACGCTTCGTATTTCTGTCCGTGATTTATCGGCAATTTCCCTTCCGTAGATCGTCCTTGGTTGGTTCTAACATGATTCCGCCCTAATTTCCGTTCCTGGTTCGATGTTGACACCTTCCTCCGCTGGTTGGTGTGATCGGTTTCATGTCCACCATCTGTCACTGAATTGCCATGGTGGTGATCTGGGACGAGGCTCACGTCCAAAGTCGCTGGTCCACCGAGTGCTCCGTGTGCGAAAAGCGAATGAAAGAAATATGAAAGGTATCAGTTTCAAGACGTGATAGTTTCATCACATTCCCCAACTAACCATACTCCAGCAAAGTAAGAATATACAAGCTATATTGTGACTATATGGTTATTTGGGTACTCATATGGCCGTCAGAATTGTTCATCGGTTGCGAAGTGAAGTATTTCTGAAAGTGAAGCGTTATATTTCTCAATGTTTTGATTTTATCCTAACGTTACCTCAATGTTACATCACAGACAAACAGACCCAACACATTGAACATTTCTCATTGTAAACCCTACCGCCATATGTCGTATACACTGTGATGGGCAATACACTCAACAGATGGCTGTAGTGTGTAAATGTCAAACGCAAGGGAATTGACCGTTAAAAGCGATTTTGATGAACATTTTAAGAGTGTTATGTCTGCTTGTATGTGATCATACCTTCACTATCGCAACTCCGGGTAATCCGCGATAGTACTTGCATTTTTCTCAGGCACTTTTGATCTAAATGCAACCACTCTCATACTCGAAATGTGCCACGACCAAATTGGCACAACGACGCCCTATACACTCTCTGACCAAAGCGCAGGGAGAATACCGGAAAATGTTGTTTTTAACGAAATATATAAGTTAAACGCAGTTCCACAGGAATTGAAAACACAGCAGCAGCAGCAGTTAGCCTAGGCGCTGTTCATAAACTACATAGACATTTTTTTGGGTTTATTGCCCCCCCCCCCCCCTTCCCCTGCGTAGACAATTGTCCATACAAATTCTTTTAAATTTGTATGGGCCGTGTATAATTGTCAGCTTTCAGAACGAATCGAAGTTGATTGGCCAAAAAGTGTCCCTGACTGTATCGCTGATCGCAACGCTCGCACTGGAACACCTTGTCCGCGTCGGTCCGATGCGTTTCGTAGTGTTGGATATAATTTTGCCGGGTTTTCAGTCGTTTGTTGCAAAGTTCGCACCGGTACGGGAAACCAGTATGAGTCAACTTGTGTTTGGACAGTGACGCAGCAACACCGAACCGTTTCGGACAAAATGGACACGCGAAGTTGCGCTCGTTTCTGTGATCTATAGTTATGTGCTTCTGGAGCTGCTGGTTACGTCTAAACGTTTTGGCACAGATGTCACATTTGTGCTTCCGGACGTCCGTGTGGATCAGCCGGTGGGAAACCAATAGGTATTTACTCTTGAACACTGCGCCGCAAACGGTACAAGGGTGGTCCTTGCGATTTCTGTGGATCGATTCGCAAGCTCGTGCCAACCTGACATGCTTGTGCAGCTTTCCACATGTTCCACACGGATAATTGGCTTCGTTTTGGTGCACCAGGGCCTTGTGAATGTCCAGCTTACCCTGGGTGAAGTACCCTGAAATTAATTTAGAATAAGAAAAATAATAAGTCGATGTTCCGTGACATGTTCCTACCTTGACCGCAAAGTTCACAGATAAAGTTCCTCTCCCTGTAGGCATCATGTTGATGACCATGTAGCATTCTGGCCGTTTCATACCGCCGGTAACATATTTCGCACTGAAACGGTCGCTCCTCGGCCGACTGCATCCGCCGTTGCTCTTTCTCAAAATGTTCCTCGAGACCGTGCTTTTTGAGAGCATCCAGCGATTCCGCCCGCTCCTTACATCCACAGCAAAGGAAAGCCCCAAGCTCGGAGTCATGAACAGCCAAATGGCGCTCGATGGCCTGCTGGTCACTACGAATAATGTTGCACTTGGAGCATTTGAATTTCTTCCGTTGAAAGTGTTCATGGAATTCTCGCTTGAGCTTAAATTGCTTGTGGCAATCGCTACACTCATATGCCGCCTTCTGGTCCGGGGGTTTGTGCGACTGTTCCTGATGGTTGCGAAGCACTTGCAGGGATGAAAACATACATCGACATCCACAGCATACAGGAACCGTCCGATGGGGATTATGCTCCTTGGCATCGAGAACCGCAGCTGATCTAGGCGTTGTTTTGGGCTTCTGTTTTGTCCGGTCAGTTTTCCGATTAATTTGGTTAAGACGGTATGGCGTCCACTGATGCAGTTCTTTCTGATGAAGTGTTTCAAATCTAACATAACACACCGGACACTGATGGGCCTTAACGGCAGACGAGGATTCCTCCTCATTTCCAGGACCGTTATGAACCAGCGAGTGCTTTGCCAGTTGGATTCGCTTAAGGGTGTTAAATTTACACCCGCAACATTTGAACTTCCTGTCGGCATGATAGGCAACCTGGTGTGCATCGAACTTCTCTAACGATAGAAATCTTCTCAAGCAGAATTCGCACCGCAGTGATTTCAACTCGTTTTTACCGGCTCTATGAGCTGCCAGTGCTGCTTGATCCTCAAACTGGTCGTAGCACACGTGGCATTCTACTTTGGTGAGTGAATCGCTACCTTTGGCTCGGAGATGATTGAATGAATGCTTCCGCAAGGTGAATTCCCGGTTGAACGATTTATTGCACCCGCAGCAGTACATTAGGGTTTCTGCAGCTTCAGTCGTGCAGTTTTTCCTATTCTTAGGAACACTCGGTTGGTCATCGAATTCCAACGAGGTCAAGCTTCCATCTTCATCGGCACTGCCGTTTGCTTTCCAGTCAACATCTTCATCATCATCTGAACATACTTGATGAAGATCTTCCTGCTGAGGAATGTCGAAGTCACTTTTGTCATCATCTGAACAGTGAGCTTTGCTAATGACCAACTCATCATCAACTGTGCTGGCTAATTTTCCGTGCATAGTTTGTTGGGAATTCTGCGCTAGTTGACGAAGTTGAATTGCTTCTTTCAGCTGTTCGTGGCACTTGGAGCATATCGCATCTGGATAGCCATCATTCTTCGATACCTATAATCGAAATCGAGTACAATTTTATATAAGATATAAAAATGGGTTCCTATACTAACCGTAATTCCACAGATTATCTGCAAGGCTTCCGCAGTTGCAAATTGTTTTCTTTGTAGTAGATCCTGGCGAAAAAATCACTGTTATAAGTTAATAAAAAAAAAACAGCTACCTAGTTCAAAGAAACATACCGTTTGGAAGTTCTGAAAAATGCTGACAAAAAACACCTCACTATCGGAGACTCGCAAGCAAATTCGGCAAATTTTGTCCATGATTGTGGCACGTATTTCCGGTAAAGCTCATAATCAAGAACAGCTTCCAAGCTTTAAATTATTATTAAGCGTTATCTTCCAAAAATTAAATTAAGCGTTAGCTTTCGAGCATTAAATTAAATCAATGAAATTAAATTTTCATTATTTTATTGATACAGATTGAGACCTTCAAAACCGCAAATTCTGCTCGGGAATCTGTTTGTAACAATCTTTTTGAGCATGTTGCGAAGATATTGAGCAACTCAAGAGCAGTATGTGAAAAGGGTGCTAAATATTGATGATCAAAAGTAATTAGGCTGTCCACGAGACAGTTGCGATCAGCTGACTTTTTTGTTTACCAAGAACTTTTGACAGATCACAGTAGACCTGAGAGTTCACTCTCACCAGCACTAGAGTCGGTGTATAATGAGTCACGCCAAGAGTGAAGCCAAGTCTACCTATTGAACTGTCAAACCGGCTACCTATCGTGCAAAGTAAATAAACATTACGATGCTATGAAAGGTCCACGAAAGGTATTGCAATAAAATATAAAATATAATCGAAGAAATGAGCATATACACGCAGTGAGCGCTAAATTGTCATGGGATACGCTCGGTTATGATTAGTAATGAGAATTTCTACTATTTTTTGTTAAGATAATTTGACAAAATCACTGATATAATGATTTACTACAGCCATAGAGGTAACTCCATAGAGGTAACTCTAAGACTACTGGGTCCCGAAGAAAATCATTATTATTTTTGGCTCACTCAGTACCAGAACAACGGTCCCAAGCAGTCCCAAGCTATTTCACTCACCCCTGCATGTTCTGCATGAATCCACACACCCCTGATGTTATCTGTCAAACTTTCATAGCGAATCAAAACAAACATAGTGTAGTAATAGAATTTCAACTAGAATAGGGTGCGTTAATCGTTTGCTTGGGACCAATAGGCTACTAAAGTGGTGAGCCAATTTAAAATCGTTAGTTTCGTATTGATTGTTGGTATTATCCCCTATTTGATAAGTTGCATTATTTTCATCTAAACGATCTGTTTGCTGACCAGTCTTCTTCTGGGTGCGCTGGTCTGCACGAACTTTCTCTTTTTCGTTCTCCTTGTGCATCGAAAGCCAGCGTTTGTTGGTATTTTCAATGAAATCCTTTGTTGCGTTTGATGAGCTGGTGCTAGAGTTTTCGTCGTTGCTTTCAACGTTTGAAGTGTGATTATCCTCGGTTTGATTGTCGGTGTTTCGCTGTTGTTCTTCTGCTGAGAACCCGGTGAAAGCAGGAGATGATTGACCCGATGTCGTTGGTTGGTTTTGTTCGATATCCATCGACGGGAAATCAGTGAGGCTGAATACCTCTCGGTTGGTGGAGCTGCTGAAGCGGTGCTATCAACAATCAATACGAAACTAACGATTTTAAATTGGCTCACCACTTTAGTAGCCTATTGGTCCCAAGCAAACGATTAACGTACCCTATTCTAGTTGAAATTCTATTACTACACTATGTTTGTTTTGATTCGCTATGAAAGTTTGACAGATAACATCAGGGGTGTGTGGATTCATGCAGAACATGCAGGGGTGAGTGAAATAGCCTGGGACTGCTTGGGACCGTTGTTCTGGTACTGAGTGAGCCAAAAATAATAATGATTTTCTTCGGGACCCAGTGGTCTTAGAGTTACCTCTATGGTAGTAGTGTTGCCATGTGGTACAGTCCAGTAGTAGTGGTGTTGCCTTGTGGTACACTGAAAAATTGCAATAGCAGGTTAGTCACCAAAGTTTTCGAGCCGCTCCGTCTGTCACTTCGTTTGTGCTAAAACGCTATTCGTCTGGTTGACCCCAGGTCTCGTTTAGTTGCCAACAAAACGAGCCTAGTATAAACTTGCAGTATAAGGGGTATAGTTTATCTTTTGAATATACATGCGTAGTTTAGCGGTGGATTATCCGTAGAATGTATTTGATCACTGTCATTTTAAAGTTGGTATTTTTATTGATTGAAAAGCAATAAATTCAAATAATATAAAGTTTATTTTCATAGGAAAGCATAACAAAGTGAAAACAAAGCAATCAAATCTCGTGCTAGTTGACCGTTTTCTTGGTTTGGATTTGGACCCGAGAAGCGTTAGTTTGAACTGCTTGGTAAAGGATTTCTGGGCAGGCGTTTTGGTACATACGATCTCCTGTCCCACCGAGGCATCCGTTAGTATGTCCGTGTCGGAACGGATGACCTCTTGGATGAACTGCAATTCTACCATCGATTTTCGACGCTGCTTTTTGTTCAACTTCACACGATAGTTGAAATCGAACACGGTCGATGATCTGGCGGAGGATACTTCATTCTTCGGGGAAGTCAACGATTTGATTTTTTTCCGAGCTGAGCTTCTCGAGCCTTACGACCGGTATGGCTTGAAGCAACTTTTCGACGGAAGTCCCTCGTGGCAATCGAATCTTCTTGACCAGTTCATCCAGGCTGATTTCTTCGCTATTCGAAGAAACCAACGAGAAAGAACTAGATGAAGTCGTGGACAGTCGTCGCTTCTGTCGTGACCGGACCGAGGTTTCCAGCCTTGGTCACGGCTACACGAATTAGCGATGCAGCTCCCACGGGTCATTTGTTTATGCTGCTGCTGCTGTTTCTGTTGCTGCTTTTTCTTTTGCTGCTGTTTTTGCTGCTGCTGCTGTTTCTGTTGCTGCTGTTTCTGTTGCTGCTGTTTCTGTTGCTGCTGTTTCTGCTGCTGGTGGTGGTCCGCCACCTCCAAAATTTCTGTTGCTGCTGTTTCTGCTGCTGGTGGTGGTCCGTCACCTCCAACATTTATTTTGCTGCTGTTTCTGTTGCAGCTGTTTCTGCTGCTGGTGGTGGTCCGCCACCTCCAAAATTTTGGAGGTGACGGATCACCACCAGCAGCAGAAACAGCAGCAACAGAAACAGCTGCAACAGAAACAGCAGCAAAATAAATTTTGGAGGTGACGGACCACCACCAGCAGCAGAAACAGCAGCAACAGAAACAGCAGCAACAGAAACAGCTGCAACAGAAACAGCAGCAAAATTTCTGTTGCTGCTGTTTCTGCTGCTGGTGGTGGTCCGTCACCTCCAAAATTTATTTTGCTGCTGTTTCTGTTGCAGCTGTTTCTGTTGCTGCTGTTTCTGCTGCTGGTGGTGGTCCGTCACCTCCAAAATTTATTTTGCTGCTGTTTCTGTTGCAGCTGTTTCTGTTGCTGCTGTTTCTGTTGCTGCTGTTTCTGCTGCTGGTGGTGATCCGTCACCTCCAAAATTCGTTACAAGAATGACTTCAACGAGCTTAGGTACTTCATATTTATACCTGCTAACCTATCAAAATTCTCTAACCAATGAGATTCCGTTTACATACGGACTATCATGCTTCACGCTCACTCGATTCTACTCATTATTTGTTCAACTCTAACTCTATCTACTACATTCTTCCCCTCTTCTACTCTCCTTAATTGAGGACAGGGGGCATTATATTCACCCATTTGGGCGAATTTCATCTACCCTCTCGGGGGGACTTTCATCTATCCTCTCAGAGATATTCCATCCATCAGGTGATAATTATTTTCAAACTTGCCACACTGATATTTATTTCAAAATTATCAATATCTGTTATCATTATTCATCAAAATGACTACCTATTTCAATATAATCATTGAAATCATTGTCACCAATTTCAACCGCGTACATGAATATTACCGTTCTATTCAAGTTTCAGATGAACTAATTATCCATTAGGTCATGGCTATTTATCCATTACGTCATGGTAAATTTCTTCAATTTACTTTTCCATCCATCATGTTGTATCAATTCTTATTTACCATGAATCAGGTCATGGTAATACTTATTAACCATCCACTATACTATCTATTTTGCCTTGAAGTTTTCTAGCTTCGTGAAATAATACATATTTTGCCTCGGAGACCTTTCACTCCGGAAATTTTCAAGAATCTTTATTATTATTATTTTAAGCATAGTATACCATCCTTCACGTCATGGTAAATTTCTTCAGTTTACATTTTCATCCATCATGTCGTGTCAATTCTTATTTACCATCCATCAGGTCATGGTAATTCTTATTTATCATCAATCAGGTCATGGTAATACTTCTTTACCATCCACTATACTATCTATCTTGCCTTGAATTTTATCCTTTCGTAAAATAATACATATTTTTTTCTCGGAGACCTTTCACTCCGGAAAATTTCAAGAATCCTTATTATTATTATTTTTAGCATAGTTTACCATCCTTCATGTCATGTTAAATTTCTTCAGTTCACATTTCCCTCTATCATGTCGTATCAATTCTCATTTACCATCCATCAGGTCATGGTAGTTCTTATTTACCATCCATCAGCTCATGGTAATTCTTATTTATCATCAATCAGGTCATGGTAATACTTCTTTACCATCCACTATACTATCTATCTTGCCTCGAATTTTCTTGTTTCGTAAAATAATACATATTTTGCCTCGGAGACCTTTCACTCCGGAAATTTTCAAGAATACTTATTATTATTTTTAGCATAGTTTACCATCCTTCATGTCATGGTAAATTTCTTCAGTTCACATTTCCATCTATCATGTCGTATCAATTCTTATTTACCATCCATCAGGTCATGGTAATTCTTATTTACCATCCATCATGTCATGGTAATTCTTATTTACCATCATTCAGGTCATGGTAATTCTTATTTACCATCCATCAGGTCATGGTAATTCTTATTTACCATCCATCAGGTCATGGTAATTCTTATTTACCATCCATCAGGTCATGGTAGTTCTTATTTACCATCCATCAGATCATGGTAATTCTTATTTACCATCCATCAGGTCATGGTAATTCTTATTTACCATCCATCAGGTCATGGTTATTCTTATATACTATCCATCAGGTCATGGTAATTCTTATTTATCATCAATCAGGTCATGGTAATACTTCTTTACCATCCACTATACTATCTATCTTGCCTCGAATTTTCTTGTTTCGTAAAATAATACATATTTTGCCTCGGAGACCTTTCACTCCGGAAATTTTCAAGAATACTTATTATTATTATTTTTAGCATAGTTTACCATCCTTCATGTCATGGTAAATTTCTTCAGTTCACATTTCCATCTATCATGTCGTATCAATTCTTATTTACCATCCATCAGGTCAT